AGTGGCGAGGTCCTCATTTGGACAGGCACTTTACTTGCATACACCAGGCAGCTCACCCATTTACACGAGTCTTTTCACCTGAGGATCTATTTGCTATACAAATCCTTATGAACTCAGTACTAAACCCCAATGCCCCCTTTGAAAAGCTCAGCTTTAATGACATCGACAGCAGTGAGAGGGCTTGCTCAATAAAATTATGAGATCTGGCATGAGGCGAAGAGAACACTGCTTCCCTACATACCTCTTCAACACAATTGTGTTACCTGCAAATCAAAAGCAAAACAGAAGCCAAACTTGCTACAATGGCACCAGTGTCAAACAAGCCTAGCAGAATTCACTGAGCTTTCTGTAGTCTTTCCTAACCCCACTATTAATCCCAACAAAATCCTTGATTAAAATAAAGCCTTTTGTGCTACATTAAGGATGCATAAACCATTGGATTTTGCTGGTATTCCAATATCTCAATCTTTGCACGAATCCTCTAGTCAAGAAAACAAAACCAAAACACACCAACAGGAAGTTCTCCAGTTTTGTCTGCCCTTTCAAGTCTGAACTCAAATTGCAGCAATAAGCTTAGCCTAGCCATTATTCACACTTTACCAGAACAAACACACTGCATTCCGCCTGCACCAGACCCTACTTTGTCCCTGCAAAAAATGAAGCTGGAGTTCTTAAAATCATAAGTTATGTTTATATTTGCAAATTTAGCAGTGGCTAGGCACACCTGAGTTTACTAGAATGTAATCATTTACACTACAACAGTGTTATAACAGCTCTTCTGCTTTCACAAACACTTCCTAGAAATGGTTCAGGAGTTAGGATATACGAGGCACAGCTTCCACAGGCAACACCTGTAGCCATCTTACAATAGAGGCTCAGAGCACAGATGGGGATCATCTGTGTCACAACTTCAAAGCCAAAGAGGACGTTCAGCTTACACTTGTAGAGATGCAACCTTAGCATCTCATAGACTTAGCATAGACCTAGCAATGCAACCATGGCTTTTGCAATAGGTGGGAGAGCCTTTCCTGAAGGTAATGATGAAGCTTAATCTGTTGCACTTTCCATACCCTATTCCAGTGGGGTCATATAAAAATCTACCAACAAGCCTAACTTTTCAACCGCAATTTTAATCCTCATCCTAGCTTTAACAAAACCTCAGTAACATTTATTTAATGCAGAATACATCCTGGTATTAAAGGATACAGAAATACACCAAGACCTTTAACCTACCATATTCCAAACTATCTCCAGTCCCAATTCGAATCCCAGTTTAACCACAACTCAGTTACCCATATACGAAGCAGTACAGACTGGAGGTCTACCAGACGTGTTGTCACGCAGACCTCATCAAAGCCATCAAAGCCCTGACCTTGCAGGATTTAGCTGTACACCTACCTCTTCAAGCTTTCTTTCCCAGAACACCAATCACAGCCAACAGTAACCTGGTAACCGCACTGTCAGCAAAATTAACAGTAAGGGGCAAAACTTGTCCAGAAGCATCCTTCAAACTATCCCAATGGGCCTTTTCCTACTCAGGTCCTAACCCCCTACATCTCTTGCCATACAGCATTATTCAGATTCAGCTTGATAACAGGGCTATCCCTGTACCATTCAATCTTGCTGGTACTAATCCATAGCCCAGTCACATGTTCCTCGCATAGCAGCCAGCAAGAAAATAACATCTTCAACTCATCTTGTCTCAAAACTGTCTTGAAACATAACCCCAGCCAAAAGCATGGTCTAGTGACATTAAAATAAAAATAGGAAAGCTTTTTTGCCCATTTTGCTAATTAATATGTCAGAGCTCATAAAGAAAGACTCATCAGCTTTTCTCCAGCACTGCATCATCTGAAACAGCTGTGTCAGCAGAGACCTCAGCAGACAGTCAATACATACTAAAAGTGTTCTAAGTAGTAAATCAGAACACAGAAAAAGAATTTAAAAAAAAAATCAAAATAGCTGCAAAGAATTCAATACTCGATTTCACTATTTGATATAATCCAGGTTATATTTGATGCACAAAAGTCTTGCCCCTCGTTATGATGGGTATCCTTCCTAGCTGTCCTGGAATCACTTTTCTAAAAAGCTAAGAGTTCATGAAAAACTGAGCTAAAGTTTCCTGATTTTTCATATCTTTGTGATTTTTCAGGGATCTTCTCTGCTTTACGATAGAGGGACTACTTGTTTCTCATCCTCATCGTTGGGAGTTGAGTTTAGAGCACGCAGACTCACCATTGGTGAGCACACGGGAAGCTTACAGAGGACAAAATCCTCCTTAGAAGATTCAGAGAGGATGCTTCACACACACGCACTCTGAACCCTGCTCTTCTCCAGAAAGGGCTGAGTAGGCTGCATCAATACAGCACTCCAGTGCTTTTGTCAATGGCACTGTGGAAAACATTTGCAACATTAAGAACACCTGTAAGCACTGCAGGAGTCTTCCATCCGGCAGGCTGAAGGACAGACCAGCTATGAGAACCAGAATTCACAGATGCATTTCTGTGAGGGTGAAATACAGGAATAAGTCTCCAGTCATCTTCCCATAGAACACGTTTACAAGCTCAGGATGTGTCCAGACATGCTTCTAAAAATCAAATCTGTTTTTTAAGAGGAGGGAAAAAAAAAGGGACCTGCTGTTTGTGGGTGCAATATATAAAAAGACAGAAAGATGGGGCTACAGCTACAGATCCTTTTAATGCCTTGGTCTTCTGCAGAATTGTGATAACGCTTTTTTCATATGAGTATCTGCTACTAACTCCTGCTGCTGCTGTTACATGTAATATGCAAGGGATACAGTACCTATACCAAATGCTGAGACTAAATGCTTGAAGAGCCACTGCCCCAGAAGGAACAGAAAGGATATTTCCCTAGAGAGAATTACTCAACTGCGTATTTCATAGAACAAGTCATGTTGAAGGAGAGAAGGGATAATTGCATTGATTGTTAGAAGGTGATAATTAATTCTGTAGAGAAATATATTTAATTTCCTGAAGTCTAGAATAGGATGGAAACTCTTCGTTCTATAATGAGAAAATAACGGTGTTTTGCTCCCAGCACAAGAAGCTGCAATGTCTCCCCTTAGTGTGTTCTTAAAAAAAGGTACCTATAGGAAGGCAGCACAATGAACAATGTTAAAACAAGTGTTATGTGATGTGACTGGATGCCAGCAAAATGCATATATAATTCCAAAAAGCATACACTAAAAAGGGACCAGAGAAAAAAGAATGTCATGTTCTTGAACAAACTTTTAAAATAAATATTTGAATGGAACAATAAGAAAACTGAAATGACTGCTTGATTTCTCTTTATGAAGGGCTAGGAAATGAAACACGGAGGGGAGAAACATTTTTCAACAGTTATTGAACAATATTTAAAGTGGACAGAACCAAGAAAAAGCATTTACACTCCAAACTTCTCAGAAGTTAGCTAGGTCCTTAAGGGGAAAAAAAAAAAGAAACAACCTATAGGATCTGTGCATCTGCTGACCACTGATTTCAGTCTAGGAAAAAAAGATCTTAGGTACATGCAAGAGGTCTATGAAGGGTAAGTAAAGCAAATAAGCCAAAGTTCAATAAGCATAGGTCCACATTTTCACATAAAATTTCTAGATGTCTTCAAACAGAAAAAATTTCAAAGCCACTGTTTTCAAGAATCTGGAGAAGTGTGCAGAAGAAAGATCAAATGCTGCTAAAAGTGGTATTATAAAGCTTAATGTACCTCTACCAACAGATTGCTGGAGAGTTATGATCTCACCAGGTTTCCTTCCAATATTCTTTGATAGCAGTGAATTCCACTGATCTTTGGAAAACTGCATGACGTTGCAATGTTTGTAGTAATTTTTCTGCACAGGAAAAAAACTCAAGGGAAACACCCCTAGCTTCTTCAAGTTGACAAGATCATTTATTTGAAGCTTTCATATTCCCAAAACAAAAAGTTGAAAGAATTTTTTCTCCCCAGGAATGATAATATTCAAGACATATGAACTACTCCTTGATTCAGAAAGAGAAGAAGTTCACAGACTTAGGAAAGATGCCAGAAAAAATTAAAAATAATTTGTCTACTAAGTTCAGGAAAAGGTCTTCAGATAAGGAAAATCCACACCAGAGAACTGAAGGACACCCAGTTGCACAGAGAAGGAATACCATAAACAATCAGGAATCTCACAGCTGACCTTCTCTTTCCCATGAATTCAGTTTCCTAGTTCTATCAAAGGAGCAGAAAAAGGTAATGTGCAATCATGCTACTACAAAGGGGCAGCCTTCAGGCTTTTCTAACACTAGAAGAGATTGCTGAATAACTGGAGTTTTCTAGAAAGTTTAAGGTTTCTCATGTCAGCTTATCCATGGCCTGTGAAAAATTACAGTCTCGTGTGACATTTCCTCAAAAGTTCTTTTAATACAAGAACTGCAACTTGTACAGTGGTGTGGTTTGTGGAACTTATTAAATAGGTAGGTACAGTAACGACAGCAGTAGTGACTAATTTTTTTCTTACTACAGTCTGAAAAGTTTAAGAAAAAAATAAATTATTTCTACTGCACAAGCACAATGAAAGGAAAATCTTTGACATTCTTTTTTTTTTTTAATCTGTAGAATTTTTTTAGTGTTATCTTCAATATTCCTGGTAACAGAAATGTAAACTCAGAACAAGGAGAAAAAGCAAGAAACGTATAAATATTTTCAAATTTATATTGTTTAAGTCTCCACACTCCACAAGACATGTTCCACTTGCCCTTATTTGAAAGGGCACCTTCTTCAGTTTACAACACCTACACTGAAAAAAAAAAAATTACAGCTCTTCCTGCAAATGACTCTGCTACATACACTGCCTGGGAAAGACCAATCCCTAATTCATCATTGTACAACTTGGAGTCAGTGTATACAAAGTAATGCCTTAATTTGCAACTCTTTTAGTCACCACAGTTTCTGTAAGCTGATTTCATTTACTGCCCACACTACTTTCAAGTTGTTGACTTTTCCTCCAAAATAGAACAGCTTACCCGATTTGTGTCCGGCCAACAAACCAACTTTGCTTTCATCTGCCACTGGAGGAATAAAAGAAAAGACACAAAGATCAGAAACTTATTTAAGTTCACAAGCCTTTGAAACACTGTCAAATTATTTCAAACACATAGCATCCTAAATCTTTAAATTATAATTGTTTGTAAAAAGCCTTTTTTTACCTAATCCACCTGAGTTGCTTCAAAGTCCAAATACCTGAATCAAAGCCTACGGAAACCAATAAAAGAACTACTAGCAGTCCTTGTGAGTTACAGATCAGGACCTCATCACTTACACACACAAAAGTGAGTTGCCAGAAGTTATTTGTAAATAACTCATCTTGTCAGACAAATCACAGGGCATAGGAGACTTGTAACATTTTCAGATCAAAGACCTCAATTGGTAAAAAGAATCCAGATGTGGAAACCCTCCCATCTGCAAGACATCTCACTGACTCACAGACCCTCTGCAGAGACCCCTCTGGTCTCCCAAAAACCAATCTTTTGGAAAGCTTATGGTTTTTTCTATGTTATATTTTATTTTATCTGTAAATTGTACCTTTGCAGTATTTCTTATACAGACAGACATTTACAGCAGCAACAGTTTGCACAGACAGACTAGCGGAGGAACAATTTCTGAAAGTAACAAAAATTGTAATCTTTCTTCAGTAACTGTACTTCAGTTTATTATCATATATCTCAAGAAACTAATTAAAACACTCTCCCAGAGGGCTGAGGGGAAGAACCGATCACCATTTCTTAAAATGAGTTCTATGCAAAGAAATGGTGCTAATGTAATGTTAGGGATGATAAAACAAGCACAGGAAATGAATGTTAGGGTTGAAAGCTTATCCTTCAACTCTGCCTGCCCAAGCACTCCCTTATGTTATGCCTTAAAATGTGATCTCTTTATACGATAAAATAAATTGTCAAGTCATACCAAAACTTCTATAAATGGGAACTTACACAAGCTTTGCATAGTGGTCACCATGAAAAGTTTACATATAAGGTTATCTGTGATGATACAGCAATGTGCTATTTTCTACCCAGAAAGAGCAATGCAGCAGTTATTGACATTTAGGAGCTACTACAGGGAAAATAATCACAGTAAGTGTTTGCTTACATTGCCTCCCCACTTGACTTTTAGGGAAGCTTTTCCCCCCAAAAAACCAGCATCAGATTCAGGACTGGGACTCACAACTGGAATCGTGAATCCACAACTGACCACTGTATCTCTTCTCCACCTTTGTAGTCTGATTGTCATCTGATCATCAGTAAAACTGACATAGTGCAGTTTTGTTGTGGGATGTAGATGCTAATAAAGCAAGACTAACACTGTTTGCAGCGTTACGCAGCGATGCTGCAAAAGAAAACAGCAGTGGGGTGAGTCAAAATTAGAAGTGCAACCAAAATTCAAGGCAGTTCTGTACTGCATGTCTTTTAACCTTTCTTCTAGGTTTTTCTAGTCCCTGGAAATGATAACTATTTACCTCCTTGCTATACAGTTTGATCCTATAACTCAAAATGACCGGACAAGGATTTGCTATAAGGATAGTTCAAACTCCTTTTCCTCCTCCCTTCCACCAAATTTAACTCTAAGAACCACCACCATGGAAAACTTTAGTCCCAAAGGTTAGTGTTTTGACAAGTTATGATTGTGTGAAAACAAGGGATTATAATGGAAACTGATTTGCAACCTTAATTATAGCAGTCATTAATGGCAACCACTATAATATATGATAATTACTTGGAGTAGGTTATGTTACAGTACATAGGAGCTTTTAAAAAACCTCACAAACCAGATACCAAGGTTCATGGCATTTTTTAAAAAACTATGCTGATGACTTGGTTTGCCTGAACCTAAGTTTTACATTATTAAAAGGGATAAATCCATTTAACTTAATCATACTTTACACACCAGCTTCACATACAAAAATTAGATTTAATACTGGAGGGAAAAAAGGAGAAATAAAATTATTAGAAAATGAAAAATAATCTTGCTAGAATACAAAGTTAGCATTATGAGTTTAAGCACATGCGCAAAAACTGGAAAATGCAAAAATTAAAGTTTTCTATTAAAGTTTGAGCAAAATATGTGCGCCCCTCCATGGAGTAATTTTCATTTCATGGGATATTATGCTTAGACAGTGACTTCTGGGCTGGCCATCTTTCATTAGACTGAACAGGTGTGGCACGGGCAAGTCCATTGGATGAGAATCCTGTTCCTTCTCTTGTTTCCTCTGGGAACAAGGAGAAGACAACAGAAAAGAAGGAAAAGGCTAACGGGAGATAAATATTTTGCATGTCAAAGCTGAAAATTTGTAACTGAAGATTTCATTTAGGAACTATATAACATGCCCTGTTCCACAAAATGGCATTTGAAAACACTGCTCTGCATGATGTTAAAAATTAATTCAGTTATGACAAAAATCTTATTTCTCTGGCTATCTTCCTTGGCTTTTGAAGAAAGCAGGAGCTAAGTGGAAATTTCTTCTCTAGGATTCTACTAGTGTTGGCCTATCTTCGCCAAAAGGCAGCTGAAAGGTTTTAAACACGGAAAAAATACTGTCCACTCTTAAAACTCAAGTAAAAAAAAAATTCTAATTATTTTTATATTGCAACATCAAAAAGTAATTACATTGCAATTAACTATCAAAAATTTCAGCTCAAGAGAATCACATTTGGGAATGTGCACTGCCAGACTGGAATATATCAGGAAAACATTTATAATAAAAATTCAACTGTAACTATTTTTGTGAGGACACTAGAAATACTATATATTCTTGAGGTAGAATTGTTGAATGCAAAACATTTCAAAAAATGAAACCACTTAATTTGGGGACTGTAAACACAAAACTCAAACAAAAATCTGGGAAGGATCAATGCAAGGGAGTAAATACATTCACAAACAAGAAGAAACTTCTCCTTAATTTGTAAATCAAACAAATACTTCACATTTTGAAGTGTCCCTGGAACTCCAAGGGATGTTAGTTCATCAAATTATTAATGTTTGTCAGCATAAAACAGGCTAGCTCTTTTATGCTAACATCTATAATTTAGGAACCACATTTTCACCACAGAAGCCAGTTACGTATTCACTGTCAGTACTCAAAGTAATTGCTGAAAGAAAAGCGACAGAAGTTCTACAGCTGTTTAATAAAAGTACGGACATTTGGGGGACTAGCAAAACCACAGATTATGAAAGATGGAACATTACTAAAACAAACAAATCTTTCCAGCTGATAGCAAACAACTGATACTTTTTTTTTTTTAAACTATGCCAAAAGCCACAACAAATATTAAAACAACCCAACCCTCTATGCCATGAATAATCAGATGTATTAGGATTTCCTATGGTAATATTCTGGAGTGCTATTTTGCTTTAAGAAAATAAGTAGTATTGTTTAGCAACAGTAAAAGCACCCAACAATGCCTCCATGTCCTTCCATACAATGTTCTGATTGCCATTTCTGTGCCCTACTCAAGATAACCAAGGCAGCCATTTTATTTGAATTGCATGATTGTCAATGGTTTAGTACACAACAAGCCTTCTGTACTGCCTCAAAGTTTGCATCAAAATACAGTCCAAGTTAACTTAAAAAGGTCAAAGTACTTCCCAGCTATGGTTTAGAGAAGCACAAATCAATGCTGCTGCCAATTGTGGTAACCAATTTCGCTCCTTTTGCCCAGTTCAATCACTGTACCATTATATTATTTCTCCCCAAAACAAGGAGTTACTACTACTCACAAGATACAGGGTGGTACTATTCAACTTAGTGCCTCTTTTCTGAAGGATCAGTTCTGCACATTGACTAAGAGCTACTTAAAATCTTCTAAACATGTGAAAGTTACTTGTATTTCTGCTGGACAAACTGACACGTACCTTTAAAGACCAGCTGCAGTTCTGTACTCAGAAAAGACACAAACAAGGATTAAAATTACAATTAATGAGAAATAATAAGAAAACGGACTGAAACATCAAAGAATTTCCTAGAAAATAAGTTTCCTGATACCTTTATTAGTTTTTAGGAAGCCCATATATGTTACTCAATTAACAAGGGCTGTATTCCCAAACCACATATACAAATGATATTTCCATGCTTTTAGAATCCATCTGTTTATATGATATAAACACATGAAAATAAAGCAAAGCTACAAACTGTTCACTGTTTTTTTCTGATGAACTGCATCCTTACCCATCCCTTTCATCATAATGAAGGCACTGCATCATCAATTAATTTTAGTCGATGATACAGCCAATGACATAATTCTCCTGCGATATTTTTTTTTTTTCTTGGTGAAGCGTTTCCCCATCTAGGAGCAGCATAAATCACTCAGAGAAACTATGTCAAATGTTGGCTCACAACCATCACTTAGAAAATGCTGCTTGTTTACCCTGAAGTAATGCATACAAAGACCACACAGAGGCTTTTATACTAAAATCTACAGAAGCAATAAAATGTGTCTTTTAGGAAGGGTAAACTTACACTATCTTAAAATATTTTCCTTCAATAATTCCCCCTCTTGCCCTCTCCAGTGACAGGGAAACTTCATGTAAGGGTCCCATCTCTCCTGATCTGGGGTCACCTGATTATCCACCAGGTACTCATTCTTGAAGGATTCTAAGTCCTCAATAGATTTCTGTTCACTTCGATGCTGAAAGCAGTGAGACTAGCAAAAAGCTTGCACAAGGGCCAAGGATCAATTACACTTATGCAGTAAAAAAGGTAAACCTTCTTCAAAATGGCATCTAATACAACATTTGGGATGCTCTGTTCACCACAAAGACACAAATAAATCACGTCCAAACCAAGATTCTGGATTCTTTCTCTCACCTGTACAATCTCTAATTAGATTTTTCAGAACTATTTTGCTAGAACTGATTTAATACTCCAGTTCAATTGTATTCAGAGAAGGTCCCTAAGGGATACATTTTGTGTGTCAGCACATGACAATGAAAATGCCTAATCCTACATTCACTATTACTACTACTAGTTGAAGAACCAGCAATACAGTTGATGCTGTCCACTGGACACATTTACCTT